TACTTGTAGGCCCACTGGAGCTTGATGTCGCAGTGATTAGCGGTGTCGTTGCGATTGCATTGTTTGGATACAATTGAGCCGCCTTTGCCTGTTGCATCTGACGTACCAAGCTACGGATAGTGAGTATATAGGTTGTAGTCATAATGGTTAATGGTAGAAGGAAGGTTACTCCGGCGGCGGTCAATACAAAGCTAGGACTATTCGGTCCGCAACCCTTGTAAGAAGCAGCAGGTCCTGAGACTGCAGGATTCACATATTTCGCTGAGTCGTCATTACTCTGGCTTGTTTGGCTGTCTATCGTCGATTTTTCAAGCTTGTTCATCGAATATATCATTTCATTTCTTATTTCATCTACTTGGTCTTGTGTACTGATTACGGTTCTTTCTGTGGTGGATTTGCGCCATTCACTATATTTGTTGCCTTGGTTTATTTGTTTACTGCTGTATTGATGACCCGAGGCAACGTGGCTGATATTCATTTGGCCCAAGAGCATATCCGGCAGATTGCTTATGCTTGTATTTATCAATGAGCTTGAATCAAACATGGTGTTCATACTGCTATTTGCCGTGCTGTTAATGGCTTTTGATAGACCTGATGCCAGAGTCATTCCACTCAAACTGGCCTCATCTGACATGAGAACAGCAATCAAAAAGAAGGGACCAGCAATTGAGAAGGAGATGAGCCAAGCGAGTGCGATTCTTGCAGATAGAGCGTGCCAGCTAATACAATCACATCCACTGCCGCAGCCGTTGAAACAGCGATTACTGCTTCTATGACGACGGCAACAACAGCAAATGCAGCTGCACTTGGATGTGGCATGCCCGGGAAGCAGGCCCTGAGAAGTGACTGATGGTTTAGCAAGTGTATACGAAGAATAAGAGTATGAAACGGCAGACGGAGATGTCCGGGGCTGGCAGGACAGGACTCTCCATCTCCGTGGTGCAGGACAGCCATCCAATCTAGTGTTGCCACCGCTACCACGGCTGCACATAGACTTTAGTATGCTTGAATGACACGTGCAGCGGAAGCAATAGCGCCGCCTGGCCCTGCCTAAAGGCTGACGAAGCGCCAAGTAGCGATCAAGTGAGATGCTACACAAGTGAATAATGGTAGTGGCTGTGAAGAAGATGTCCAAACTGTACCAGAGCAAGCAGATGTCACGGCGCTCGGGCAAGCCTTTTAAGGCCAGTAGATGCCGAAAATGAGACAATGATATTTGAGTAAACAAAGAAAGAAAGTAAAGATATTAATTTAATTGAAGGTATGAAGATCAAGATGGCATGGCTTTTTGTGTGGTCTCAATCTCATTTCGTTGTATAGAAGTTCTTTGACCCTGTTTTTGCGACCTGGTCATATTGGTAGGAAGACGTAGAGGAACGCACCTAGTCCGGAGTCCATTGTATGCATGATCATTTCC